TTTCTGAAATCTTAGGTGCTCACATATAAGTCCAGCTGCATGTATGGTAACATTTTTGGAAAAGAAAACCCGAGTCTTCGAATCGCTCACTTTCTGACCAGATACGCAGCAGAGCTCTGAGAGTATATGCTTAATAGCAAGAATCTGAGCTGTTGCTGTAGTGCTAAAGAGAATCAAGTCATCAGCAAAGAACAAATGTGACAAAGGTGGCCCTCTGCGTCCCATTTTAATGGGTTGCCAGGTGTTATTTTTTACTGCAGCTGTTATCACTTGAGATAAACGTTCCATACATAGCACAAAGATGTAGGGAGATAAAGGATTACCTTGGTGTATTCCTCGTTGGGGAGTAAAAGAAGTGGATGGTCTTCCATTCCATAATACTTGCATAGCAGAGGAGGTGATGCATTTCATGATCAGCTCAACAAGTTTGACTGGTAGTTGTGCGTCTTGTAGAGTGTCTTTTATGAATTTCCAGTTAAGCCTATCGAATGCTTTCTCCAAATCGACCTTCACAACCATCCATCCCACTTTACCTGTTTTCTTCCTCATTGAATGTATAGTTTCTTGCGCTATAAGAATATTGTCAACAATATTACGCCCTTTAATGAAGCTTGACTGGTATGGTAGTGTTAAAGTTGGCATGGCCATTTTCAGACGGTTGGCAATGATCTTGGTAATTGATTTGTAAACAGTGGTACACAGACTAATCAGTCTAAATTCTTTAAGAGTCTGCGGCTGGGCTGTTTTCGCTATGAGGGCAATGAGCGTTTTATTGAACTACTGATCAATATTGCCACCATCAAAAGCCTTCCTGACTTCTCGGTAAACAGAATCCCCAATAACTTCCCATTGGGATTGGAAGAATAAGGCATGCATTCCATTTGCTCTAGGTGATTTAAGGGGAGACATGTCAAAGAGAGTATGTTTAGTCTCTGCCTTGGTTACAGGGCTATCAAGTATAGATAAGGAAGTATCTGAAAGTGATGGGAACAAACCTTTGTGCTTGTAAATTATGGTTGGGTGTTGATCATTAGCATACAGATGTTGGAAGTAGTCGACCACCATTTCGTGCAACTTATCTTGATCTGCTTCCCACATACCTTCTACATTTGGAGCATTTGTATTCTATTTCGCCGCCGCTTAACTAGCGCTTTGGTGTGGTAATATTTTGTGTTTCGGTCTCCTTCACATATCCACTTACTTCTAGATTATTGCAGCCAAAGCACTTCCTCCCTTAAGCAAATGTCTTTGAACTCAGCTAACAAGAGTCGTTCCTGATTGAGGAGATCATGGGAGGAAGGGTTTCCTTCAAGAGCTCGCTGCACTTGTAAGAGTTTAGATTTGAGCCTCTTTTTACTTTGTCCAATCAGCCCAAATACATTCTTGTTCCAACTTTGGGCTTCTTTTGTGAATGCTTCAACATTGTCTGCCAAGTTCCTGCTGTCATCCCAGGTTCTAGTAACGAGTTCATTGAAATCTGGGTGAAGAGCCCACGCAGCAAGGAAGTGGAAAGGGGCTGGGGCGCCGCGTGTGGTTGGTCCTGGGCTAATAAGAAGTGGACGATGCTCGCTCTGAATTTTCAGGAGATGCATCACCTGTGCATTGGGTTTATTGGATATCCATTTCTTATTACAAACTGCTCAATCCAATCTAACTAGTAAGTTCCCCCTCTACCAAGTAAACTTTGGGCTTACAAAGCCCATATCAATCAAGCCTTGCTGATGAACGAAGTTTTTGAAGCCTCTGCATCCTTGTAGGTTCCTTCATGCTCCTCCCTTGCGTTCATCTGGCATTAAATTTGCATTAAAATCACCAGCTAAAAGCCAAGCTTCATCATCATCAATGTTTAGGTTGGACAAGTCCCTCCAAAGGGCTTCTCTGAGGGTTTGGTTGGGACTACCGTAGATTGTGTACATTTTTAACTATAAGTAAAATGCAAGAGTTGTACTCATTAAAGATAAGTAGAACTTACTTAGAAATTCAAGTCTTTTGATACTTTTAGATAATACATTTTTTAATAAAAGATTTTTCAATGCAATTAAATTCAAATCAAGTTTTTATAAAATCATAAGGTCTAAAAATCACAATTTAAAACTATAATACTGGCTAAAATCAAAATTCAATGAAATTTAAATATAATAACAGCATTAATCCTTTCTCTAAGAATAAAATCAGGCCATTCTTTACCCTTTCTTTTTTTCTTTTGGGATTTTGATGAGTTTAGCTAGTTTGTGGGTTTGATATGAAAATATATACGCAAAGAGGAAGAAACAGTTACACTATTCAATAATTTTGATAAAATGAAAGGAGATGGATTTCTTAAAGACAAAATTTAAAATTAAAGGAGCAATTTAATTTTGTCTAAGAATGATTTAATTCTTTTTAAAAAGTAAGGAAAGTTTTTTTGTCTAACATTATGTTTCTTTTTTCTCCATACACAAAGAAATTGAAGTTAAATGGATTAAAAAAAAAACTTCATGAAACTATGTAGTTAAAATAAAACCTTAAAAAGACTATGTTTTGATTTTTTTTCCAATATTTTTTTAGGATTAATATTATATGTAGTTTATGCAATTTGACTTCATAAGGTTTTAAATGTAAAAAAATCTTTTTTACATCAAAATAAATTTGTCATAGCGTGTCTAACTGCCTTCCACAAAATAAAAAGGCCAGTAATTGAAAGTTGCGTGTGGGGATGGCGTCTGTGTTTTTTAATCACTCTTAACAATCTTCAAATTCACTGACCTCCACAACATGAACTCAGTTTCAGCCATCGCTGCGTCGACCTCGTCTTCTTCATCTTCGCTACTCAATATCACCAAAATCCCCTCTTCTTCTGCAGTAGCTCCTTTTGCTCCTCCTCATGTTTATCCGAATCTTCGAAGGAGAAGGAGCAAATGGATGATTCTCCGAAAAAATGCCGAGAACCAGTCGATTACAGTTGCATCACCAACGACGACCACCAAAATTGATGACGACGATAGGGCTGTGAGTTCGGCTTCGGATGTTGTGAGGAACTTCTATGAAAGAATTAACGACCATGATGTGGACTCTGTTGCGGACCTTATTGCTGAGAATTGTGTGTATGAAGACCTTGTCTTTCCCCGACCATTTGTGGGTCGCAAGGTAACGAAGGCCGTTCATTTGAGATTATTCAAATTCCATCTTGTATTGTATGGTTTGTTTTGTTTAGAGGAATAACTAGTTCACGTCTTACTTTTATTTTCATTTCGTACTAAATTTGAGTCGATAACAAGCTCACGTCTTGCTTTTTCCATCACGTCTTTTTAATTTCTTTTTATCTAGTTATATCATATCATGTCATCTCTAAGCCGCCAAATCCCCCCTCTTTATCATGCACAAATACAAAAGCACACAAATAGACACTTAATCACTTGCCCATCTTGAAGCAATCCCAATATATGAAGAAATGTATAGTCTGAGTCCATTAGACTTTCGGATAGATTCACTAATGCAAGGGGCATATTAAAAATCTGAATTTTGGGAGTTGATAATCAAATTTTACAGCCGTGGTGTAAATTACATAAGTTGTTTTGTTGAAGAGGGTTTTGAGCATTTTAGCTAGTAAGCATGAACGGTAAAGGGTTAATGTAATACTAAAAAGGTTAGGCAATACAAATCTTAAGGGTTTGAAAATGTTGAACTTCGTGATAAAAGGTATGAGCACTAGCGGCCTCTAGCTTCCAAACTGAACTATTATTCATTGACAAATTCTTTTATGCTTACTCTTATTTATTTCACTTATAGGGGTAAGCAGGTAGTTACAATCATTTAGTGATCTGTAACTAAGTCCTTTTTCAACAAAGAATGACATGTGCCTCAATTGCGAATGATACTAACCTTATATTCCATGAGACATTTTGTTATTAAGAAATAACAAATTGAACATTGAAGTTGCAGTTTGCCTAGGTTTCGTAAGGAGTGGGATGAACTATTGTGAGCAAGGAAGATATTTTTTTTCTTCCTTTTTTGGGGTGGGGTGGGGGTTAGGCTTTTCTGTTATTTAAAATCTGATCAAATACCCAATCACTTGGATCCATTTCATTATTTTCTTGGTGGTCAATGGCTTAGGCCTTAGTTCAATTATGAGTAAGAACGAGAAACCTCACTTTACTATAATTCTTCAGCAGTAAAGAAATGGCCTTTGATGAAAAAAATTATTATCCAGTATCAGTTGTTCAAACTTCTGAAGTGCCATGATATGACAACTTTCGCTAGATCTAGCTTATCTTTAACTCTTGTTCAGGAAATTCTGGAGTTCTTCCGAAAGTTCACCACTTCTACCAGCAAAGATCTCCAGTTCGTTATTGATGATTTGTCCACTGATGATCCCTCATCAGTAGGGGTGATATGGCACTTAGGTACATTATTTCTAACCTGCTTTAAAATTTCTGTAGAGCACTATAGCTTTCATTTGATTTTGTATTCTTTTTTGGTTATTTCTTTTTAATGTGTATTATTTGGAAATGTCCACAGAATGGAAGGGGAAACCTTTTCCCTTTAGCAAAGGATGCAGCTTTTATCGTTTGGAGGTCAATAATGGAAAGAGACAAATAAGGTAAGTGGCATTGTTATTTTAATGGACTTTTAGTACTAAGAATGCATTGCCTTCGCGATGCTGGGCAGTCATTACAATTCATGATTATCTGTTGCTACAACGAACCCAGGCGGGTAGGTGGTATAATTTATTAATGTTTAGGTTAGCTGGTTCAATAAACTGGGTAGAACTTTTATTAAAAGACTTGTTAACGTCTCAATAGAAAAAGCTTGCTGGATAAGTTGATAGTGACCTTTCTTTATACTGCTGGACCCCCAAAAAAAAAAAAAAACCTGCTTTACAATGCTAAAATAGCATATATAACTCTGCATTAATGTTGAAACAGAAGATACTCCTTTGATAGGAGTTCACAACACCGAAACTTGCACACATATCTTAATCTAATGCCAGGAATTCACAATAATACACACGCCATTACACAGTAGTCACTCACACAAAAACAATACTGCACACTCAGAATATTCACAAGCAAACACGAGACAACAGAAGCAACATGACAGTTTTTGGTTTTCTTGAGAGGCAAGTTTTCTCCTTTTTCCTTCCAAAATTTTTTTTCCTGCGCTTTCTCATTCAGTATCCATTATAGTACGCCTTTCCGGTTACTCCCCATCTGTCTCTCCTATTTTTCCATCATTATTCCCTTTTTGCTCCCGTTTTGCTGTGTTCCTTTCAACCATAAACCTTGGTGTTTTTTGTTTCACATCCAGTCCTTTTTTCTTCTTCAGTGGTCCTGTCTTCTTCTCCCTTTCACTATTGTCTGTTACTGTACGTTTAGGCTGCTTGAATGAGTTGAGTCCCATCACAAAGGAATGATAATGTGGTCTAATGGATCTTTTATCGAGGCCAAGATACTATCTAGGTCCTAGGATACATGTCAAATGCACTCGATTGATGCATGGTATCTATTCTTCCCTCTTGGCATGGGGTGGTTAAGGTTAAAACATAGTTCAAATTCAAACCAGAATGAGATGGAGATCGATATCAATTTTCTTGTAATCACAGAATTAACTTCATACATGTTGTCAAATGTAGATGCCAAAATGTTCCCTTACCTTTGATGGAATTGAATTCCTTAAGAGGCTCCTTCCAAAGCATGGCAGCCTAAATTCTCATTCGTAAATATTTTGATTTCTTGGCTGTTTTTTCCATCCTCAAAATTCCAAAATTATTGAAAGCAGAGGATATGCCAACTCACTTCAATGCAAGTTTTCTGTTGGGATATTATTTATTTAGATTGTATTTATTTGTAAATGGTTGTAGCTAGTGGATGGTCGCATTTGTAACAGAAGTGTTTATACCTAGGCTTGTGTACTTCCTTATTTTTAATACAAACTCTTCTTTCTTCACTTTCATATGATATCAGAGCCAGGTTCTGGGACTTGTGAGTTACAGGCCCACCTGCTTTATTCATCTTCATATTATACACACTTTCTTTCTTAATAATTTCAATCCAAACCTTTAGACGTTTTTTCATTGGCCTTTCTATTAGATGATACTCATGGCTTAAATTTTATTTCCTTTAAGTCAAACTAAACCAATCGAAGCTTTCTTATAGAATATCTTTTTGCTTTTTAATTTTTTTATATGACAGATATGGGCGAGACAGTGTAGAACCAGCAGTTAAGCCCGGGGATGCAGCTCTGGTATGTCAGTTTTCCTTCGTTTCAGCAGTAAATTTTTCATGAGAACGAGGGAAAAGAAGGTTCCTCCATGTGATGTGAAGTATTTTTTCTCTAGATGGTCCGTGGCAAATAGGTCATATCAAAAGCTACTAATAGATGTTTTGCCCAAATAAAAATATCAAGTGTCATCAAAATTTATGGTATCTGAAAATAATTGTTGTTTTTGCATTTGACTCCCACTGTTTAGAGGTTGAAATTTTGATTAGCTCAATTAAGTACCTCACTTTGTTTTTGAAGCTTTTATTCATAACTCTTCTAGAAATTTAAGTCATTGAACTTCAAGGAAACAGTGACATCATGGCTTATTTAATAAAATGTTTTTGATTTTTACAAGGGAATAGTTAATTTTGCTTTGAAGACCATATCTTTCTGTTAAAGTTTAATGATTTTGTCATAACTTTTCATGAAACCCAAGTCAAAATTCTATGACATCACTGGATTAACTTTTAACTGTGTCTGGTCCAACGTAGGTTGAAGTTTTATCAATTTTGCGTAAATATTTATTTGCTAACTACTGACTCTCCCATCATCAGATGGTAAAGTCTCATACTCTCCCATATTAGTTCCAAATGGGCCTGAAAACTCATTCTAAATAAAATAACTGACTTTCTTGTTCCTTATATCTGCTTCCCAGGTCCTTTTGTTATTAGTTAAATAGTAGGTTTTATTGCATCTGACATAGTTAATTTCAGGAAAAGGTCAGATTCAGATTTTAAAAAAAATATTTTTCAGTAAGTTGAGAATAACTATTGGCATGGCTTACATAGTAATTGTATAATATCAGGCAGCAATCAGGAGTGTGACTTGGCTTTTTCAACAGTTTCCTCAGCTAGCAGACATGTTGTGATCAAAGGTTTGCAGTTTACATAATTTCAAGATGCAAATGTCCCTTATTTGTTCACTTACTGCTTATTGTCTACCTCCAATATTGCAGTCAGATTGGTAAACATATGCTTCCTCAACACATGAAAAGAACAGAAAACGATGTGAAGCAAGTATGGAAAGAGTCTGTACAGGTCCGTCACGTTCCGTGTATGTGAAATGTAATTACATATTTAGTGTTCATCATGGATGGGTTGATCAACACGTCAATCAAATTTTAATGATAAATTGAATCTTCTATAGATCTATTATATGCAATAATTATAATTTCTTATGTCATTCGTTCTTTTGTAATCCCTTTAAATATAAATGTACTACATGCAATTATTGTTTCGACCGTAACAGACCGGCATTCATTCAATACATACTTCTATTTATTTTTGTTATCATAAATAATTAGATATGTTTTCTCGTTTATTGTATAATGTCTAATCCTATTAGGTATTATATTATCTGGTTACAACCTTTCAAACACTATTAGGCTTTTTAATATATCGGATAGAGCCTTGAAATTTTTGCCATACCTTGTTTTCTCTATGTTTCGCATAACAGAAATTAAACCCAACCCGGAAAAAAAAGGAAGACTCAATCAATTATTACTGTTGTCCAATTCATATTTCTTTGATGTAGGGTTGCCCTAGGCTAATCATGTTGTTAGATTGATTACGGATGATTTCTCTGGTGGAAGGGTTTAAGGTCAAGACAACCTCATAGCCATCAAAATATGAGTCCATTCCTTCACCCCCAATCTGCCAAACCAAGCCTCCTGCAATTGTTCTTCCACTTTTTGCCAAGTTGTAGATGCTTGCATATACTTCAGTCATAAACGCATCCCTCTGTTTAATACTGAATCCTGGATCTTTGCTTGATTTACCAAACTCGCCGAAAACTAATGGCTTCTTCAAGATGCTCTTCGAGTCTGTCCAGTGAATTGTCAACCATCTTTTCAGGAACTCCATCTGGGTTTTCTCACTCTCTCCTGCAAGCCTGTAAATTTGCATATACATATTAGGGTTTACTATATATGACAAGGATATTCTCAAAATGATTCTTTGTATGTGCTAACTAAGATTATGTCTCGCTTTGAACAAAATTTAGGTTACATTCCTCATATTGGAGAATTACATTTGAGAGATTAGATTATTTTAGGTTATCTTTATCGGCTTTTGAAAATTGTACAGGTTAAATAACTCTTAAAAGTTTTTAGACGATTATACTTGGTCTTCCTACCACCAAAATCCTGTTAAGAATGTATAAAAAAGGCTGAAGAAATAAATAAAGTTGCACAAAGCCAATGAAATGTGGGAGAAAGATAGAAATGATAAAAAAGTTTGCCCGAATCCCATAAAGGGTGTAGCTTTTCTATCATATATTGATTGATTGATATGTGATGATTTCATGAAATAGACTTACCAGATAGCCGGGTATGCATGAATGGTAGCAAAATCAACATATGGAATAAGATTGTTGTTAATAAAATCAGTGCCATATTTTAGAGACTTAGGGTTGTACTGAACCCTATCTGGTGTTGAATAGAATCCTTCCATCCCCACTGTCACCAAATGCTTATTATCTATGGATTTCACGTAGCTGCCCATCTCCTGTATCCATCTCTGTGTATCATGTTTAACATTCATCAACCTTCAGCTTCCCAAGTATTTTACTTTTGATGCAATTAAAAGGGAAAACATGTTCAGTTGATCATTAGTTTAGTTCTTCGTTAAGTAATTCTGTTTCAAAAAGATAGTTTTGGGTGCAACTATGAGCAATATTTTTATGTAATTTGTACAATGATTAGTATAAGGAGAAAATGGTGGGTAGGAATCCATAATGTCAAATAACTTAACTTTTATAATGAATGAATGGTATTACTTATGATTTGTGAATGACATAGCTTCTAATAAATTTTATTGTTCTAAGCATGAAAACCAGTCAAAATAAGAATTCAGTTAAAATTAGCTTACTCTTTGAAATTTTGGATAATGCAGATAACTATTGAGTCTCACTTGGATATCTAACGTGAAACAAGTAATTGAGAAAAGAAAAAGGTAAAAAGTTGAAGGAAGTGAAAACAGGAGGTGATATGGCTTACACCAATGGTTTGGCCGGAAGTGTCAACTTCACAGCGAGGCTCATTGATAAGCTCCCACGCCATGATTGTGGGGTCATCTTTGTATGCCACACCATTTACCGTATTTTTTCTTGTAATCAACGTCTGCCATCAGCAATAAAAATATTTACAAGATCGTAGAACAGGGAGAACGACGCTAAAAGAAGAAACCGAGGGGAGGAGTCATGAACACAAGTATAAGGTTCTTCCAACTAATCTATATCATTGTATTATGGTCTCATTTATCAGATTTAATGCACATCTAGTCTTATGAATCTAAAATATTGCCTTCTATACATATATTTATATATTATATAAGGTTGGAGGGGTTTGGACAATGGAGGGAGTAGGTTGGGTGGCAGTAGTTTGGTTCTCCCTCGCTGGTGGTTGCTTCTCCCTCTACGACGGGTAGCAAATAGTGACCGAAAGGGGGGAGGAAGGAAATCAAGAAGAGGAAGAGAGCTATGCTTATGTGCAAAATAGGAATTTGTGAGATATTACGGGGACAATTTCGTCGGAAAATGTTGAATCTCATGACCGATTTTCTAGTACGACGGGATGATGGTACTCCTCCGGTCCTAATTATAAGACCCAATTGACTTATTTGAGGAGATTAAGGAAGTAAGTTAAGTTGGTTATTTATAATAAATAAGTGTTGTCATTCCTAAAATATCCTTGCTAATTAAGTATATTGGCTAAAACTATCATTATTAGAAGGATTATCTTAGAAAAAAATGCATAAATATAAGAGACAAAATGGATTGGGGTCTTATAATTAGGACCAAATAAAAAGTCAAATTGGGTCTTATAATAAGGACCGGAGGAGTATTGTATAATCCCACGTAGGATGATAGGATTGGATTGGACTCTCCAATGCCGCATACTAAACAAGAAGTTGCTATTATTCAATCCAAACTCGTCAATTCCACATATCAAACATGGCCTAATACGCCAGTAATCATAAGGGAGCAGATTTTTTTGGGGGGGGGGGGACAATAAGGGAGGAGTTAAACTAAAGCCCATCCCCATCATCTGTAAATAATGTAAAGAAATTCAAAAAAAAAAAGAAGAAGAAGAAATGTGAGTGCGCATAAATAAAGTAAAGGAGGCCTACACTCACATTTCGCTATGCCATCCCATTTCTTACCATTAATTTACTATTTCTTTAAATAGCATATCATTTTTTTAATAATTATAACCAAACACAAGATAATTTTTGCATTTTACACATAAATTATCTAAATGATCTAGACAAACAAGCCTTTGTACTCATCTAGATATTTTAAAAAAATACTTTAAAAGAAAAAAAACGATAACAATATTAATACTGCACTATTATATTACTCCTGTGGACCTTAACATAGGAGTTATTATATAATACTCCGGTCCTAATTATAAAACCTCGTTAGGTTTTATAATTAGGACCGGAGGTAGTATTATATTATATATCAAGTCATAAGTTAATGTAAGAGATCCAATCATATTTTTTATAATTAGTCTTTTTGATTTCTAAAGTGAACTAAATATGATTATCTCTCTCAGTGGAGAGTTGAATTTTGTTTCGTCACGTTATGAGAAACTAGTGTTTTTTGCTATATCCAACTGCTATTGATATAATTAATCTATTTAAATTAGTTAAATAGTTCTGATATGTTGATGGGGACAACAATTAAATATACCTTGGCATTATTCTTGTAATAACCTTTGACGAGAGGATGAGTGTAAAAATCATCATCGCTGGCGAGAGAGGCACCACTGCTTCTGGCCCATTCCACGTATTGATGTCTTCCGCCAAACGTGACATAGTTATTTATGAGACTCATTATCAGCTTCATATTATGTTTCCCTGCTTCCGCCACCACAAAATCAAGTGCCTGCCTTCATGTGAAAATTTGTCAACTATTTTTAACAAAAATAAATTACTTTCACATTCCAAAACTACCACTCTATTTCAAATAAATTTCTCTTTCTATGATTAATGTTTCTGCAACCCAACTATCAATATTTTAAATACAAAAATTGCATAATGAAATAATGGAAGGTATTTTTGAAAATACAGGTGTGAATATAAGAGCTATATAAATAGTTTACATATATTAAAAAAATTAATTAGATTAATTATTTGTAACAAATGTGTATTAATTTTTTTTAAACTACCCTTCATTAGCTCCATTGATGAAAATCCCCATTAATATATATAATTAATAAAAATCATTTGAAGAAAAAATTATAAATTTAAAAGATATAATATATCAAGGCCAAAACCTCCCAATTAACTCTTACATTTAGATTGAATGGAGTACTATTTTTCATAGGTCACACACGAGCGTGCATGACAGCTTGCTTGTGTCCTGTCATGTCCTGTTCTCCTAGACAAATCTTTAAAAGAATCATATTTCAAAAAGCTAGCCGTTAGAATGGGAGCGTATAAAGCCTTATAAGGCTTGCCTTTTAATATAACCCTTTCAATATGAAACTCATAACGTGCCAAAATAGCCTATTACGACCAAGACACTGAGCACCAGCATTAGAAATTAGAAAGAACAAAAGTTTTTAAATGACATTTTTATAGTATAAAAGAATAAAGGAAATATTATATGTATGTATAAAGAAAAATATAAGCCAGTGTAGTTTCTTCCCAATGATTTATGAAAAATCCAGCGTATTTCTCAGATTCCGATGAAGATAACCTGAAAGAAACGCTCGTCGTAAACGCCGGGAGATTTCTGGAGGGCACGATCACCGCCGTCACTGAAAGCCCAGATGCGACAGACGCCAAGAGCGACTCTGGAAGCTTCTAGAAACACAGCGGGCACTATATGCTTCTGGCTGGCTTCTTCTGCAACTTGCATCATCCAATATGCATTGAATCCATTGAACAGAACTCAGATCCATTCCACACAAATTCTGTTCCTCTCTCCCCACAAATTCTCCGTCAGAAGAAGAAGAAGAAGAGATCATCAACACGAAAAGTAACCCTAAAATGCTCATATTCTGTAGATAAGTTTTCTTTTACAGAAAATGAAGGATAATTTGATTTGGTGAATGAATCAATGAATGTTGATGATATATATATATATGTATGTATGTATGTATGTATATGTGTATGTATGTACGTAGCGAGGTGGCCTTCTTTAATTGTCTTAATTACTTTCCTTAATTTTCAATTGGGTATATTTAATGAGAAGATTTCTGTGAACATCATTAACATTCAACATATAATATTGTCCAGAAATTAATAAATTCCTTTAAAGTTGACTTTCACTATATCCAGGGGACTTCACTAGACCTTTGTATTTTCTACGCAGCCTAAAAATGAGTCATGCTACTACCTCCGGTTCTTAATATAATATTCTGTTTGACTTTTATTTTGGTCATAAATATAAGACCCTAATCCACTTTGTCTTTCATATTTATACATTTTTTTTTCCAAAGTAGCTCTTCTAATTAGCAAGGATATTTTAGGAAAAACAACATTTATTTAGGATAAATAACTAACTCAACTTACTTCTTCAATCTCTTCAAATTAGTCAACTGGCTCTTATAATTAGGATCAGAGATAGTATTATTAATTATGATTTGTGGGCTCTTTTTGTTGTTTTACACTCTTCTCTAATGATACGTAAGGTTATTTTAAGGCGGCCATGTTGACTTTGCTAGAATTAAGTGTTTTATATAACTTATGAGTTGTTTAAATTAATTAAGCAGCTCTTATATTAAGGACCGGACCAATAGGAAATTAATGGTTTTCCTTACAAGCGGTTACTTGATATCCAAGAAATGCAAGTGAGGAGGTTATGTGAAATACAAGCTTGCGTGAATCATCTTTTCTCTTTTCACCAGATTATGAGCATTACTTAAAAGTCCGTTTGGTATGAGGAAAATTGAGGGGAAAGGTAAGGATGAAAAATTTTAATGTGCTCAATTTAAAAAATTGAAGAAATGAGGTTTTAAAATTTTAATAGAGAGTAGTTGTAAGATAAAAAAAGTTTTTAAGCTCCCCATTTCTTTAGAGCTGCAATTTGTCATTTTGGTCAAATTATTTGGTAACAATTAAAAGGATGTAAATTAAAGAGGATGTTACTAATCAACCAAAAAAAAAAGTAGGCAATTACATAGAGAGGTTTACAAATTAAAGAAAGTGAAATTTAACGAAGAGAGGAAAGTGGAAGCATAATCTGCCATTATTTCAACAAGTTCCAAAATCACTAGATCACTAGCTAGTTGGAGGAAGCCGCCATCGTTCTCTTCATCCATCAAAAGAAAGGGAAAAGATCAAAGGATCGGGAACCAGTACAAGTAGTGAGGAGAAAGAAGAAGAAGCTAGCTAGTTCAGAGGAAACTTGGAATAACGACCGGATATGAGTTCAATGTTTCAGAATGGAGTTGATTCTTCCTTGAAGTGGTGATGATGTTGGTTTAAGGAAGAGGTCGATGTAGAATAGAGAGCTATATGCTACCTCTGATTCTTAATATAAGAGCTAATTCGATTTTTAATCTGGTCCTAAATATAAAATTCATATCCATTTTGTTTATCGTATTTATTTATTTTTTCTAAAACAGTCATTGTAATAGTTGCGCATATTAAATATTTTATCAAACGATACTTGATTGCAAGGATATTTTAAGAAAAACAATATATATTTATTACAAATAACTAACTTAATTGATTTCCTTAATCTACTTAAATTAATCAACTACCTCTTATATTAAGGATTGGAGGTAGTATCTCCAAAAAAATTGTACAAATGAGGGCACTAAGGAAGTAGATTGGGGGGACCAAGTGTATGAGGTACTGTCAAAGAACTACAACCGCTTTGGCTGCGCAAATATTAAGGGACGATGGTTTGCGCAAAGTCTTGGCCTGGGTTCTTTGTCCTCATGTCATACATATGGAGAGGAAGCTACAATCTTTCATTCTTTCTTAGTATAACAGTTAGTTAAAAATCAGATTTAGTTTTAAATATAATATCTCAATTCACTTTATTTCTTAAATTTTTGTTTTTTCCCTTCTGAAATATCTTTATTGATCATTGTAGTAGATTCTCATCAAGAGATAGTTCTAATACATATGATTGAATATAATAGTTTGAAAAAATCAACACATATTGATTATAATCAACTAACTTAACTGATTTTTTTTAA